TCTCTCTCTCTCTCTCTTACACACACACACACACACACACACACACACACACACACACACACACACTCCATGTTGAAAACTGTAACTCCTGGTCCCTTGGAGGTCTTGTGTGAGTAGCCACTGTTACTGTGAGTGCATGTGTGTAGCAGCCCTGTCATGGCCAGAGGCCAGCCTTTCACAGTGCTCCTCATCTTCCAGCCCTTTATTATAAGCATGTTAAAAATAAAGTCTACTTTATCCAACCCTAGCTAAACAAAATATAGATTGCATTTCAGCAGGAGAGTGAGAAAGATGAAAGAAGGAAATAAGGGAGTAAAAAACTGAATTCATTATAAGTATGCAACTCAAATGAAGTCTACAGCTAAAAATGTAATCTTTGGGGTTTTTTTTAGTTTTGGGGCATATTTATTTATTTATATACACAAGTTTATCAAAATCTCCCTTTCAATCATTCTTTTTAAATTTTGGATTAATTTGGCTGACTCTTCTATAGTATTCACTGCATTTTTTTCTTTCATTATTTATATATTTTCACAAAATTATTTGTGAATTTTTCTATGATGGCTCTTTACATCTAAAATATGTGCATTACTATCTCCCATTATTTTCTTCATTCAATATCACAAATGTCAACTTGATATGAGACCTGTTTTTAACATTTGTACCACTTTCATGTGACTGACTAGTTTGCCCCTGGTGATCAAAATTTAATTTAGAGTGTCACATTTCTTTTGTTTCTGTCTCCTGAAAGGTGAAATTTTCACCTGGGCAAGTAATGAGTTTTTAGGAGCACAGTTTTTAATGAAATGAGACTTCACATTTGACATCTTCATAAGAGTTGACATTGTCTGTCAAGATTACACTACTCCATTATATCTGTGTAATCTCAGGAAACCAACATAAATGGCTTTAGTTACATTGGCTGTTCTGTAGTGTATTGTAACATTGTTTATGAATTAGCTTTATCGTCCACAAATTTAATAATAGGACTGCCACCAGGTTTTCATTATATAGCCATATACACATGCCAATGCATAGAGATGGTTTTTGAGTTGAGTTTTCTGTTGTTATTGATATTCAAAGAAAACTCGATTGCCAGTTTTTAATTTTATAGAGAGGATCACACCAAGTATTGTCTCTTTGTTTGTTTTGTCTTGTTTTGTTTTTCGACACAGGGTTTCTCTGTAGCTTTGGAGCCTGTTCTGGAACTTGCTCTTGTAGACCAGACTGGCCTTGAACTCACAGAGAGCTGCCTGCACCTGCCTCCCAAGTGCTGGGATTAAAGACATGCACCACCACTGCCCAACAAGAATTGTTTTTTAGATTGATTTTTAAGACTGTTCAAAGCTGTATTAGGCTGAGCTCAAACTTGTTTCTATCACATTTAATTAAATTGGGTTTGAGTAGGATATTAACTTTTGATTCTATATAGGGTTCTTTGTTTTCACAAGTATAATTAATATAGGTAGAATCAGTGTTGTGTAAATACATTAGATTTTATAACCTGTATTTTTTGTAAATTTTAGAACATCTTAATATTGCTCTTAAAACTAACCATCTTTTCCTTAAAATGACATAGAATTTATTTGCTGTACCTTTTATTTTATTTAATTTTCCATGTTTTTATATTGTTGTTCCAAATTTAGTTTAAAAGAATCCTGACCTGATTTTATTTACCTTCTTTCCACAAGTTTATATAATACTTTCAGTCCATGGTTCTTCTATATGTTTTTGTAGACTTAGTAGCTGAACTCAAGTTTAGTTAACCTTTAGTAAATGCAGTGATGTTGGCTAGTTTTATGTCAACTTGACAAAAGTTAGAGTCCTTTTATAAGGAGCAACCTCAGTTGAGAAAATGCCCCCACCAGCAGACCTGTGGGCAAGTTGTGATTCATTTGCTTGCTTGATGTTGTAGAAAGGCCCAGAATACTGTGAGCAGTGCTCTCCCCACCCCCGGACAAGTGATTCTGGGTGGTATAAGAAAGTAGGCTAGGAATGCCACAAGGAGCAAGCCAATAAGCAGCATTCCTACATAGTTTCTGTAACAGTTCCTGCCTCCAGGTTCCTACCTTCATTTCCTGCCTTGATTTTTTTCAGTGATAGACTATGATGTGAAAGTATAATGGGATAAACCCTTTCATCCTGAGTTGCTTTTTGCCTTGGTGTTCATCACATCAAAAGAAATATTAGCAGAGACATAAATTTAGTCTTACTCCAATTCCTGCTTCTAAGTTCCTGCCCTTAGTTCCTTCTATGTCTTCCCTTGTTGATAGGTGACGAGCTATAAGATGAAGCAAATCCCTTTCTCTCCCAAGTTGCTTTTGGTCATGTTTTTATTAAAGTAATAGAAACCCCAAGATGTCAGTTGATACTGTGTCAAATCTTTATGTTCCAATATTAATATCTTTCACTGAAAGAGTTTATAAAAAGACAATACTCAGTACTCCCTCCCCAAGACATTCAATTTGTTTATTCAGCTATTCAAAGTAAACTAAGAAATAGTCATTAATTAGCAATACATAGCCTAACAGGTATTGCAAATACAATTTTTAGATGAAAAACTCTTAATTGGTAGTTGACTTTTTCATTCCCATCAATGGGTTGATAGTGGATTAAAATAGTCATGCCAGAGAAGAATTAGACTTTCTGGAAATACAAAATATAAACTAGGAAATTAATATTTCTTTGTAAGTGGAGCATGATGATACATTATTTAAATAAAGCATCTGAGTCTTCTGCCAAACTAAATGTGTAAAGCCTATTTAAAACAATTCCCATATTTAAAGGGATAAAGTATATTTTGTTCTGGAGATAAATATTACTCACCATGGCCTTGGAACACAAACAGATTAGCTAAATTGTTCCAGGGTGGTAACAGATTGATGGAAGTTTTATACTAACAAAACAAAGAAAGACTTAAGATATTTTAAAAACAGTACAACTGATATCAGGTAGATATCTTAGTACCTTTGGCACTAAGAGCTGTGCTTAAGGTGATCACCACAAAGATAACTGCCAATCCATGAATAGGCCACCAAGAGTTGTGTAGAAAGTCTAGATTTTCTTCTTTCCAATGGTGGAATGTGGAGACCACACTTTCATTTTCTGCTAATCTGTAATGACACTTTACTGTCTATGTAATCCACAATGGGAGATGAAAATCTATATTACCACTTAAATCTTGCATCGCCAAGGCAACCTCATACCCAGTGTTTGGCTTATGTTATAGATAACATAGCTTCCACCTTCAAACAGCAGTCATAAGGCAATCCCACCTCCCTTTTAGGTGTTAGTGAATTTTACATGTGGACTATTCGTAACACACTGTTTCTCTAGCCAGAGTGGTGGATAGTTATGAAAAATTAGAAGATCTGTGAGTTTTTTGTTTGTTTTGTTTTTACATTTAGAACTTTACTTTGTGTGCTTTTGTGTGTGTGTGTGTGTGTGTGTGTGTGTGTGTGTGTGTGTGTGTGTGTGTGTGTATGGGTGTACATGTGCCATAGCGTGTTTGTGGAGGTTTGCTTGTGATATTTGGTTCTTTCCTGTCTCCACATGGATCCCGGGGATTGAACTGGGATTGTAAGCTTTGGTGGCAAGTGCCTTTATTCGCTAAGACATCTCACTAGCCCAAGAGCTGTATTCTTACTCCTAACCAGCACTATTTAGGATTACCCTTTCCTTAGATCTCATTAGGCTGCAGGATTTTTGTCTTCTCCTGGCTCTGAAGGGGTGGCTTCTTTACTTTCTCTTTTTGAGTGGTGTCAGAAGTCCAGTAAAAACAAATGATTTAAATCAAATCTGGAGTCTCACAACACAAATCATTCAGGTTTCAATAAAAGCATATTAATAAAATATAGTGTATGGAAAGACAATCAATAGATTAGTAGAAAACAGCAAGAGAGCAGTACTGTGAGACCTATCTGACAGATCTACTCAACCATGATTAGAATTAAATGATGTGCAAAGCAATAATAAACACAATTGAAGGAACCTTGAAAAATTATTAGGAAGGAAGAAAGCACACAGTAAGCAAAAAAGAACATGAGTACAATAGGCCTAAACATTCTTAAGTATGTCTTATGGTTGAAGCAAAATATAACACTGTCAGTTGTAGTAACAAAACTGGGTAGAAAAATACTCAAGGAAATTGTGGGGAGAATAAACTGGTGTTAAATGAGGCTAATTATTCATACTTCATTGTAACTGCTAAAATGGCAGTAGCTTAATCTTAAGTTATATAAATAATAACACAGAACTATCACTAAAATACATAGAGGTACACTCAGTAACACTATAATAATTAAAGATAAATTAGAATTATGAAAAAATATACAATCCAAGAATGTGGAAAGAAGACAGATACAAAAGGATATCCATGCTACAATCCGTAGACCCAGAGAAGCTATGTAACAAGGAGGACTCAGGGGGGACATTTGGATCTCCCTGGAAAGGGGAAATAGAAAAGACAGTGGGGTGAGGAGAAGGTTTGGGGAGGGGACAGTAACAGGAGGGATCAGTTGAGAAAAAGGATGGAGGAAGAGAGCACTAGGAGAGACAGCTGGAATTGGGGGGGCCTCTTGAGGATGAGCTACAAACATAGTACAATGGAAACTCCCCAAAATTTATGAGGGTGACCCTAGTTAAGACTTGTAGCAATAGGAGATACAGAATCTGAACTGGCCATCTCTTGTAATCAGTTAAGGCTTTCAGTAGAATGTTTGGGATACCAACCCAACCACAAATCTGTAATTTGTCCTACCTACAAGCTGTGCTTGGATATAGGCAGCTCAAAAATTTTGGGACTGTGAGAGTGGACCACCAATGACTAGTCCAGCCTGACATCATGCCACAAGAGGGAGCCCATTCTTGATACTGACTGGAGGGCCAGTGCCCAGAAAACAAGGATAAAAGCAAATATGACTAGCATAAATAAATAAATAAATAAATAAATAAATGAGATCAATGAAATGATTCCTAATGATATTCTGCTATACTTATAGATTGGTGCCTAGCCCAACTGTCACCAGAGAGGCTTCATCCAGCAACTGATGGAGACAGATGCAGACCCACAACCAAACATTAGGCGGACCTCGGGGAATCCTGCTGAAGAGGGGGAGGAAGTATTGTAGAGGCCAGAGGTGTCAAGGACACCACAAGAATATCCACAGAATCAACTAACCTGTTCTCATAGGACCTCACAGAGACTGAACCGACAACAAGGAAACCTGCATGGGACTGACCTAGACCCTCAGCATATATGTTAGAGTTGTGTAGCTTGGTCTTCTTGTGGGACTCGTAACAATAGGAGCAGAGGCTTTCTCTGACTCTTTTGCCAGCTTTTAGGACCCTTTCCCTCATATTTGGTTTCCTTGTCCAGCCTTAATGGGAGGGGAGGTGCACTGCAACTTTATATTCCATGTTTGGTTTATATTCATGGGAGCCCTGTCTTTTTCTGAACAGAAACAGGAGTCTATGGGGAAGGCAGAAGAGAAATGGGGGGAGGGACTGGGAGGAGAGGAATGAGGGAAAACTGTTTGAGTTGTGAAAAATAAATGCATATTAAAAGAAAAGAAAATAATCGTAAATCTAATAGTGTTTAAAGAAAATAATCGTAAATTCTAATAGTGTTTAATAGTTTAAGATCATGAAAGGTAAAATGTGCCAATTTAATGAGCAGATTGTCAATGTTGATTTAGAAACGTCAATCATATACATTGTCTATACTATAAAGAATTTACTTCAGATACAATGGTATATGTTAGTGTAAGTTGAAAATAAAAGATTGGAAATATATATATGTGTATATTTATATTTATAAGTCATTGAATGTGCTATAATGAAAGGCAATCCTTGCATTCAGAAATATAAATCTTAAATATATATGCATCAAATAGTAGAATGTAATACACAAAAATTAAGAACTAATGAAACTTAAAGGAACTATAGAAAATCCCCAGTTATATTTGGAACTGTCAGCAAACCTCACAACATTTAAAAGAACAAGTAAAGATAAAATTACCAAGGGTATAAGCAAACTCAATAATGTCATGTTAACAAGATCTCTATATTTATATAACAAACAATCCATTCTCAGACGGAAGACTATACATTGCTTTCAAGGATCACCAGAGCATATATGTAGACAGAAGTTTCTGTTCCGCCTGGTCCTGTAGCTGTTCAGCCCCCCAAAAAACACACAGAGGCTTATATTAGTTATAAACTGTTGGGCCTATTAGCTCAGGCTTATTATAAACAGACTCTCACAACTTAAATTAACCCATAATTCTTGTCTATGTTTAGCCATGTGGCTTGATACCTTTTCTCAGTAAAGTAGTCTCATTTTGCTTTCTCTGTGACTGGCTGGTGACTGCAAATCTGATTTCCTCTTCCTAGAATTCTCCTAGTCTGTTTGTCCTGCCTATACTTCCTGCCTAGCTACTGGCCAATCAACATTCAAACCAATGAGAGTGACAAATATTTATAGTATACAGGAGCATTATCCCACATCTTTTCTCCTGTTTTTTCCTTTCAAAACAAGAACCAGAATCTTATCTTTGTTTGGCTTTTATTCCTTTACAACTTGTAAGCAACACTCTCAAGACAAACATCCATAATCCATTTGGAGGGGTGTGGACATAGTTTTCTAGGCTACTTCCTGCTAGTTGGGGGTGCTGATAATTAATGGGGACCCAAGGAAAATTTCAGATTATGGCCATGTCCTGACTGGAGTAGTCTGTGAGACTGGATCATCTCAGCCAACAGTATTGAATGTAGAACTCAGAGGAAGCTGCAGCAGAGGCGCTCTAAAACAGATCATCTGGCCCATTCACTCCCATTGGAGATTTTTAAGGGGGTCTTCCTTGATCAAACCTCACTTTTCTTAACCCAGAATAAGTCCACAGCCTTTCATTTCCTGTGGAAAACAAAAGCAAACCTCCAAAGTGACATATCTTTTGACTTAAATTTTGAAATCAAGAGATTTTTAAAATATGTAGGTGGCGGCACATGCCTTTGATCCCAGCACTCAGGAGGCAAAGGCAGGCGGAACTCTATGAGTTTGAGGCTAGCCTGGTCTACAAGAACTAGTTCCAGGGCATGCTCCAAAGTTACTGATGAAACCCTGTCTTGAAAATACTATATATATATAATCCAACAGCATGTGTAATCAAATGTATTTTAGCATCTCTTGCTTCTTCCTCAGTAGCACATAATTCAAAGGCAACACAATAACATACTGTATCCAGATTCTCTGTGTATTTTCTGTCTTTACATGCCTTTTTTTTTTACTCTATTTTTTCTTTTTTAATTTTTGATTTTTTTGAGACACGGTTTCTCTGTGTATCTTTGGCTATCCTGGAACTTACTCTGTAGACCAGGCTAGCCTTGAACTCACAGAGATCTACCTGCCTTTGCCTCCCAAGTGCTGGAATTATTTTGTCTAAAATCTCTTCTCAAGTTCTCTCAGGTTTTATGTGGATGTAGTTGGCAAATGTTGGGTATGAGCCCAAAATAAAAAAAATCCACTGCATTATATAGATTATCAATTATGTCAAATTAAAACTACAATTTAGTTCAAAAAGTGAAATTGCATCAGTGGAACTTAACGATATTTTTAAGATTTGCATGCTGGAAATAGTCAAATAAAGTTAAAAATACTCAAATAATTGGAAAGTAATGGTATGTTAATTCATTAAAAGAGTGATCACAGTAAAAACATCAATTCTCTTCAAGTTTGCTGTGTAATAATGCTGCTAGCAAATTCCAAACATCTTTATAGTAGGGATTCCTCATTCCCCACATGTTCACCAGCATTTTTAAGGAAAGGTAAAGTAACTGGAATAGCTAAAACAAGTTGAAAAGGAATACTGCAGTGGGAAAGATTCATTTTAATACTTACTATATTGCTGTACTGGCCAGGACTATATTATCTTGGTTGAAGAGCACAAACAGATAAAGGAGAAAGAAAAATAGAGAATCCAGAAGCAGAGGCACAATTGTGCCACACTGATTTGACAAAGGTGGAAAACATTTAGTAGAGAAAAGAAATTATTTTATTAGCAAATAGTGAAACAAAAGAGAATTTGAGTATCCACAGTACAGAATAATGAAAACAAAAGATGAGAGAGAGAAAGCCTTATGATTCTCATACATTATATAAAGTCAACTCTATTAACACAAAAAAATCATGGTTGTGGTTTTAGTCAAGGTTTCTATTGCAGTGATAAAATGCTGCTGACCAAAGGTCTAGTTTCTTAAAAATTATTTCTTTTATCTTTTTTGGAAGGAAAGGGGGAGAAGAGCAGAGAGAGAGAGGAGGAGGAGGAAGAAGAAGAAAGAAAGGAGAGACAGAAGCTGCCTCTTCGAGAGGGAGATGGAAAAGGAAGCTTATTTTTTGATACATGACATGATCACATCAATCCCCTTTTCCCCTTTGCCTCTCCAAATATTCACATATAACCCTAAGGAATCCTGAGAGTAGGAGAAATAATCCTCCTCAGGGAAGACCACCAATTGGTTATTCAAAACCAAATGACCAGTCATAAAAATATATACAAGCAACATTATGCAGTTTGATTAGGTTGTACTTATGTTGTTTGCTTTCTTGTAGCATTCAGGACCACCTGTGTAAGGGTAGCACTGCACACAATGTTTTGGGCCCTTCCACAAATGATCAATCATGAAAATGCACCACAGGTTTGCTCAGAGTCCAATCTGGAGGGGCCATTTTTTCAACTGAGGTCCCCTCTTTCTAAAAGATTCCAGTTTGTGTCATGTTGACACCAAACTAGTCAACATTGATGTAAATTCAAAATATAAAGTATAACACTGTTTTGAAAAAATGTAGGAGAAAATCATTGGATTCCATGTCTAGGCAAAGATTTAGACGTTTTAGAAAAAGTCTGATCAACAATAAGGAAAAAAAATAACTACTTTGATTTGGATAGCCCTACCTTTCCATAACCCCATCTTCCTGTCTTCCATGCCACTCCCCACTTAAACCTATCTAAGCCCAGTATTTTTCCATCTATAATTTCGTATTACATATATTTTACTTCCCCCTCTCCTTTATGCTTCCCATAATGGCCTCTTTCTATTGACCTATATTCTACAGTACTCCAGGATAAACACAAAAATAGAGACTGTAAGTTAAAATCCACATATGAAGGAAGATATGAGTCATTCATTTTTTGTGCCTACATTTATTATAGTTTTTTGTCATCAATCTATTTTCCTGCAAATTTCATAATTTTGTTTCTCTTAACAGCTAAACAATATTCAATTGTGTAAATTGCATTGTGCATGTGTACCATATTTTCATTATGCATTCATTGTTTGTTAGGTATAGAGACAGATTGCATTTCCTATCTATTATGAATAGAGTAATAATGAACACCATTGAGCAAGAATCACTGTAGTAGAATATAGAGTCCTTTGGGTTTATGCCCAGGAAGGTAAAACTGGCTCATATTGTAGTTTTATTTCAGTCATTATTAGAAACCTCCATACTGTTTTCCATAATGGCTAAAGAAAGTACTTTGCACTCACACCAACACTGAAGACAGGTGTCACTTTCATTTATTTATGATAGTAATGCTGATTGGGATAAGATGAATTCACAAAGTAGTTTTATTTGCATTTCTCAGATGTTTAATGATGTTGAACATTTTATAATCTATTTTTATAATTCAATTAATTATAAGATATCCAACTCAGAAAACATTTATAAGGAGATACCCTGTAAGGCTGAATAATGCTACCCTTGGAAGCTGTGGGTTATTAAACAAAAATCCCAATGCCCTGTGTAGAATACCTCATTATGAATTTATTGTAGATTCTCTTCTAAGATCCATTACTTCCCTATCCCCATGTAGTTGGTTAGGTTTCCAGTATCAATCATGATTTCCCCTTTATTGGATAAGCCCTGCATTCAATTAGAAAGCTATTGGTTAATAACAAAGGCCCCTGGCATCTTCCTCCCTGATAGCTGTCTTTCATAGTGCCAGAGGGTGCTATCCAGGCTTCAAGGGTAGAATTAGAGAAAAGGTATCAGCAGTATACC